AAAAAAAAAAAAAAAAAAAAAAAAAAGAACCTGAAAAGAAACTGCCAGGGTTTCTGTGAATATAGCTGCTTAATCAGACAGACAGACAGACAGACAGACAGACAGACAGAAAATCCTTTTTGCAAAATTTCTCCCACCAGTTCTTTTAATGTTCAACGTGAAACTTAATTATAGTGAGAAGAAGCACTCCTGCCAGCGGTAAGAGAGACCCGGCTCTGTTCTACCAGAGACACTATTCCTCCTGGGTGAATGGAGGTGCCAGTGGTGTCTCCCACGCACAGAACTCACTCAGGAGCAGTTACTCTCGCTTTCCCAGCCCTGAGGTACAATCCTTTTGTGGCTCCCAGGGGAAAGAGTATCCAGAGAAGACAGTCGGAGGCAGGCAACCCAAGGCGGTAACATACTAAGGTAACTGAGAAGTGGAGGTGGAGTTTCTGCATGCTCCCTGGGTGCGGTGCACCTAACCCTGAGTGTGCATGGGCACATCTGGGTGGTCACTGGCACCAGCACAGCTGGAGACTTGGAATGCAGAAAACAGACAGCCCTTCCCTTGCTGTTACCTGCAGCAGCTCCTAGCTCTGGGGAGATCCAAGCATCCCCAACCACAAGCAGAGCTTCCTTTGGACTGGGCATCCTCTAGATGTATCAATTCCAGAATTCCATCGGACCATGGCTGAGGATTCGTTGAACCTTTCTGGAATGTCTCCGCAGCTGCTAGTGGCGCTCACCTGCCTGCTTTTGACTTGTCGCGAAAACGTGTCCTACTGGGAGCTCTACCTGCCTCCCTAGGGAACGCTTGATGGTAGTAGTCACCAGAACCCTGGCATCCTGATAGCAAACCCCGGTTTCCAAGTGCCACAGAGCCGTTCGGTTTGGCTCGACCCACTGAGGGACCTGGTGATTCGAGTACAGCGGAGGGGATCAGTGCAAGGTGACCATGCTGGACTTCCAGCGGTTCCAAGGCGCACTCTCCCCGCGCCAATTTCCCTGTGATTTTGGGGCCCACCAGGTCAAGTATACTCACTTCAGCTCGCCCAGCTTCGCAAGAACCTGGATACAGCTGCGCTACCACGCAGGGATACCAGCAGGGTAGCTGCATGCTACCATGCTGGTGCTGCCCTTCTCTCTGCATGTGAATGTAGTCTTGCCCAAGCTTCAGCTGGTGACCTGCAACAGGCCCTTGAAAGTGTTTAAACTGCTAGGCTGCAGCCATGCCATCGACAGGAGAGTGCTAAACTTTGCCTCCAGGAGCAGATGCAGGCTCACCTTGCTTCCTCATGCTGGCACACCACTCCCCAAGTATAGGTGCTTGGTAGGCTCCGCTGGGACCCCTCTCTCCAGGGACCATCTGGCGACTGTGAGACTTTTATCCAGGCTACCACCATACTGACACACCATCCTCACCCAGCAGAAACTATGTGCCCATGCTAGTGGAACTGTTAGGACCAGAGTCTCAAAGTACCAGGTCAGTGGAGGTGCTGGCCCGGGAGTACTTCCAGCTTCAAGTCAGAATCCAGAAGGGAGCCAGGAGCACAGCACCAAGACCCAGTCTTGCAGCTCTAAAGATGGCGGAAGTTAACAGTCCTTACTGACAGCCCTTAAGCCAGATGCGCTGCCTGCAGAAGACAGCGAGTCAGACCCTAATGACCCAGTCTTCAATATTCTCAGTGTCGCTGAGGCCCCACCTGGACACCATGGTCGACAGGGGTTAAGTTCTTCTGGTCTCTTTCTTTGTCCAGAAAGAGCTTCGAGAACTGAAAATTGCCTATCGACCAGCAACGGGGAGCTCAGAAGGGGACTGCATCGTTCAGCTCGAACTGCAGGTGATAGATGAAGAAGGTGACACCTCTGAGCCTTTTGCCTTCATGTGGTGGTGAAGTCTATGAATACTCTGGCTCCAATAGCTAGCTACAGCCAAGGGCTTGCTGTGTTTGAAAGCCAGGCAAGGCCTTTGTCCGGTGTCCAAAACGTTCAGGTCAGTGATAAAGATAATTCCAACTAAATAAGAATTGCTACAGTCAGAGGTTTGCAACATGGGCAGCTGGTGGTGCGTGGGGCACATGCTTGGTGCAAGTATTTCACACCAGCAGACCTAAGTGCAGGATGAGTAGTGTACCAGCATGCACGACGGCAGTGACTTACAGTGACACCATCATCCTCAAGATGAAGGATGGGCACCACCAGGTGGACTTCCTCTTCCCTGTTACTATGCCTGTAGATGATGAGGCGTCACTGCTCACATGGGACTCTCTGTGACTGAAGGGCAGGTGGTACAGATATCCCCCTTTGTCTTATGTGCCACAGATACTGATTTCGAGAACTCAGCTATCCCCTTTGTGTTGGAAGACCAACACCAGGAAAAAAAAAAGAGGACGAGAGAAGCAGAGATCTGGCCCCTGGTTCTACAGCTCAAGCCAGCACCCAGGCAACATGCTGCTGAGACAGGCAGAACCCCCTTCATCCTTTCTGCACAGTGACTGGCACTATGTGAAAAAGGAGGGATTTTATGAGAAGATGGTGACTGAGTGGCTGAGTGAGACATAACAGAAGGGAGACTTTTCTTCTCCCATCCTGGACCACAGAGCCCATCTACACTGGCCCATCTGGCTTTCCGTGTGCAGAATGACTGTGATCAAATCTCTCCAACCAGCACCTCTTTCCATCAGCATCCAACCTGCAGATAAGTTGAATCCTCGGCTATCTCCAGAAACTACCCTAGAAATGACAGTGAGAGGATACCAGCTCACTCCCTTCGAGAAGTTCCTCCAGTACACTGACCAGAACTCAGATGAACAGAACCTGTGGTATACTCTACTGACACGACCAATGGATACTGACAGCAACCACCAAGTCCAGGCTGGAGAAATCGTGCTCACTGATTCGCCAAATAGACCCGTCATTCATTTTACCCAAGCCCAGGTCAATCATCAAAACATTGCTTATCGACTCCCACAGAAGAATCTGAACATCGTACCTTGAGCTGTACAATTCACCTACAAGGTGGAAGACACTGCAGGCAACAGCGTGCCTGGTACATTCACACTATTGCTGCAGCCTTTGAACAATCAGCCACCAAAAGTCACCAATACAGTCTTTGCTGTCTTAGAGGAAAACAGCTTTATTCTTGGCAGAGGTGAACTTAATGTTTCAGACCCTGACACCAATGTTGGTCAAATTTTCTTCACTTTAGTTTGGGGTCCCCAGTATGGACACTTTCAGTACTTTAAAACATATATGGTTCCAGGAGAATCATTTATGCTAGCTGATGTTATCATGGGAACATCTCTTATCAGCACAGCAGAGACCAGACTACCAGTGACATCGTCTACCTAGAGGTAAGTGATGGAGTCACCATGTACGTATCACTGTTCAGGTTTCTGTGCAGCCCACTGTGGCTGACAGAAGTCCTGCAATCTCTATCACAGGTACTCCAGTATTGGCTATTTCTCTAGATGTGCTTGAAAATACAGCTTCTGAGATCACTATGGGTGTTACTCATGGCAGAAAGGATTTGATGCTGTCTTCCATTGTGGAGCAGAAGCCTAAACTGGGCATGATTCTGGTGGACGATTTGCCTGCAGAACGAGTCACCCAGGAGGACCTCCTTGATGGAGCAGTAAGCTGTGTTCACACTGGAGGTGAAATTGGCTTCCAAAGGGTTCATACTGCTCTCAGCTTCTTCCTCTCCAATGATGCTTATCGCTGAGCCATGGGGGACAACATACTGGAGAGGGTCCTGGTGGAAGTGACAGTGCTGCCCATGGACAACATGGCCCCCAAGGTCTTGATAGGAGAGCCCTTCATCGTATATGAAGGTGGGAAGAACCCCTTGACCCCACAACATGTCAGCATTGAAGATGTGGAGACTTCTAAAGATGAAATTCTTTGCACTCTGACTGCACAGCCATCCTCTGGCTACCTGGAAAACTTGGCACCAGCTCCTGGTTCAGAAGTGTCACAGGCTGGCAGCTCCATCAGTGCCTTCTTCATCGAGGATATTCGAGTGAGGTGCATCAATTATGTCCAGAGTATCCACAAGAGAGTAGAACCAGGAGCAAATCAATTCACCTTTTATTGCTCTGATGGCATCAACTTCCCCCCAAATGTTCTCCTCCCTCTAACCATCTTGCCCACCAATGATGAACAGCCTGAACTTTTTACCTATGAGTTTGAGGTATTCCAGGGGATGAGCCGGGTCACAGACACTGCACTGGTCAATGGAGTAGATGCTGACTTCCCACCAGATGAGTTTTACCGTCGACTCCCGGTCCTCCCCCAGCATGGACACATCACCCTGTCCTCCCCTAGCATGGACACATCACACAGCAGCTGGCCACAGGCAGCAAGCCCACCACACCTCTACCCTGCAGGAGATCCAGGAGCCCTCCTCCATTGCCTATGAACACGATGACTCAAAGGGCATGGAGGACAGCTTTGAGGTCTGGCTGAGCGATGGCAGGCACACCACACATAACAAGGTGCCCATTGTTGTAATCTTGGTGCATGATGAGGTTCCTCAGTTGACCATCAATGATGGGTTGAAGTAGAAACTTGACACTCTGAGATCATCTCAAGTCATCTGCTCAGAGCATAGATCTTGACTCAGATAACAAGAGTTTCAGTTTTGTTCTCCACTCTGAGCTTCAACAGCGGCTTCTGCGACGACTGAGGACTCCAGGAGGAGATGTGAGGAACAGCCTCACCATGGAGATGAATTTCACCCAGGATGAAATTGACAGAGATCTTATCTGTTATACCCACACAGGCCAGGGAGAAGCTGTTGATCCAATTTTGATGTGACTGATAGGGTTAACCCTCTGAGAGATCTCTATTTCTATATCACCACTGGCAATTCAAACAGTGACATCCCTGAGATAACCAGCAAGAGTCACCTTGACAGAAGGTAACAGAATGACCCTCACCACTGAACGGCTTAACACGGTGACATCCACAGCCCTGGTAAACAACTTCTCTGCAGCATCACACGAGCTCCCAGCACAGGCTACTTGGAATGCTCTCACCAGCCTGGGGAGCCCATGGCTTCTTTTACTCAGCTTCAACTGGCCAGCAACAAGATATCCTCTGCCCATATCTCAAAGGATGATGTAAAGATGAACCACTTTTAGCTTAGAGTGACTGGGGGACACAGCTCTGTGTCTAGAATCTTCAGGGTATTCATCACAGACAAGGACAACAAGATACCTACCTTGACTATCCAAACACTAGATCTGCAAAGAGGGGGCAGCATAGTGGTCACTCCTTCTCAGTTGACAGTGGAAGATGAGGATACTCCAGCTGATTTTATTCTTTTTACCATCACACAGGATCCTATCCATGGCAGGATTTTGTATAATGGTAGCCATCCTGTGACCACTTTCACTAAGAAGGAGCTGACAAAGCCTGATTCTCTACTGGTACGATGGCAGTAAGACAGTCGAAGACAGTTTCTCTTTCACTGTGACTGACGGCATCCACACAGGCTTCTGTGTCTTCCCAGACACTGCCCTGGAGACACATGTGCCTCAGATAGTGGGGATCCAGGTAAGACCCCTTGACAACAGGCTCCCACAGATTGCCATCAACAAGAGAGCCACAGCCTTGAAGCTCCTTCACACTGGACACTTGGGTCTCCTCGTTACCAACAAGTACTTACAAGCAATCCATCAGGATGCTCCCCACAGACTCCTACAGTATAAAGTGACCAGCGGACCACAGCATGGCTATAGTGTCAGTGCTGGCCTTGGAAATGAGAGCACCCACATGTTCACACAAGGTCAGTCAGATGTTTTCCCCTGGTGCCTCTATAGCCGATCTCCCTCAGTGGATTAGCATTCTCAGAGCTCTGTAAAATGGTACTGACTCTAATTTTGATTTTTAAAAAAGAAAGAAAACATAGTATAATGTAAAATTACTCATTAAAAAATCTAGTTCTTTTTCAACTATTTATTAGAAGAGCCACTTAACAGAAAGCCAATGAACCTTGTAATTACACCTTAGCTTTTGGTATACCATAAGATATTATAAGTAATTTCTAAAGCTGAAAGTTCACTCCTGCAATTCCAGCACTCAAGAGGCTGAGGCAGTAGATTGCAAGTTTGATGCCAATGTGTAACAAATACCAGGCCAGACTGGGCTAGAGTGTAAGTTCCTATCTGAATGTAGGAAAAAAATGTAATTTATTTATTAGAAATGCACAGAACTAAGTTAGCCTAAGTGTACAAAGGACTTTGTTTTAAAATCATTTTTCTTTTAAATTTTGAGTTAATGCTAGTGCTGAACTAGAAAGAAATCCCCTGCTTTTCCAGGTTATATGGCACCAGAGGTCCTTGGGCTACTTTTTACTATTTCTTTAGGTAGCTTTGCCCGTGAGATGCAGAGATGCATGGAGTGATCTACCATATGTGTTCCACCATCAACACACATGTACCTGGCTGTCATTGCAGAGTAACATTCATGGAGAGCATTTGTCTTGGCTACTTTTCTATTTCAGTGAAGAGGCACCATGACCACCAAGGCAACTGATAGAAGAAAGAGTTTATTGAGGCTTGCAGTCTTAGAGAGTGAGTCTGTATGTAAGGGAGTATTCCAACCAGCAGGGAGCTACTGTTGGAGCCATAGCTGAGAGCTTACATCTGATCCACAAGCACAAAGCAAAGAGAGAGTCAACTAGGCCTGGCATGTTCTTCTGAAATTTCAAAGCTCACCTCTAGAGACACACCTGTTCCAAAGAGACCACACCTCCTAGTCCTTCACAAACAGTTCCACCAACTGAAGGCCAAGCATTCAGATATATGAGCCTATGTGTGTGTGTGTGTTCTCATTCAAATCATCACAGTGTTTAAAACCTAGTTTGGCTACGTTTTTAGATTGATTCTAAAAATGGTGAAATCATATATGTTTCTATAAAATTTGTTTGTTTAAATAAATTCTACCTAATGACAAATTGCCATTAAAATACTAATGATTACTAATATGAAAAAACTACAGATCTAAGGAACAAGATGTTTAAAGGCAAGGGTTATAGACAATAAGAAAAAACAGTAGCTCTATTCTCATTTTCTTTGTTCTCAAGATATAACCTTGTTATTTAAACTAATTTTGGCAAAGAGTTAACAGGTACTAGTCCTTATGGCAAGCTTTCTGCTCACACCAAAACTTAAGATCATACTGACCTGGCTCTTCACAGAGTGCCCAGATGCTATAAAAGATGTATAGCCAGCACGTTGCCCTGGATGTATAGTGTATCCCAGACCACATGTTAATAGCAGCACTTTAAAATGTTCTTTTATTTTTGCCTTTCTAGCTTTAAAATACAGATCTGTTGGTCAGCAAGGTGGCTCAGTAAGTAATGGTGCTTCCAGCCAAGACTAACAACCTGAGTTCAGTCCTCAGAACCCACATGGTGGGAAGGGAAAACAGATTCCTGCAAGTTGTCCTGGGACCTCCATTTATGTATCATAACACACACACACACACACACACATTAAATAAATAAATGTACATAAAAAACTTAAAGCACTCCACCTACATTTAAAATGGTGTTGCATTTCCACACCATATGGAGCACAAGTTACCCCCTTTCCTGTTGTGCACGTGTGACTTAGTATAGTGTCTATTCTTGTTTAAAGCTGACATTGATGAGAGGTGGGTCTACTACATCCTGAGCAAGGGCAGTGGCAGTGCAACAAGAGATGCCTTCTACTTCTCTGTTGAAACCAGTGGTAGGTCTAGCAAAGCCCTGGAACGCACCGTGGTGAGTGAGTATCAGTACACAATGGCCAACAGTGTCTACCCTTCCCATCACCATCAGTAATATGGCACACCATGCCAGTCAATGAATTCTTTTGCTTTTGTTGTGTTCCTATGCTCAGTGCTTTTTGACAAACCAATGTCTCCATTAAGTAAACTTTTTATTACTCAGTCTTCTTAAGGAAGTGCTGACATTTAACACAAAAAGAATGGTTGAGAGGCAAGCCAGTTTTTAAGAGGAGAAAAGGATCAGGGAGTTGGTGACTGTGATAGAAGATGCAGTAACTGACTTTCTGACATGTGTGACAATCCTAATGGCCACTGAATCCTAACTTTAGGAGATTCTGAAACCCCAGGTAATGGTGTCTATCATACTAACCACATAGAATGTCTCCCTTTCCAGTTGGTCAGAATTCTCAGCTCCAGAGTGAGTTCTGTGGCTGTCTTAACATTAGAATTTAATTTTCTTGGGGGTTGATGGGGTACAATGGTGGAACATATGTTTTGCACATGTTAGACAGCTCCATGCCCCTCCCCGCAGTGTAATCTTCTTAAATTTTTTTGGATGGGTGCGAAGTGTAATTACTGGAATTTTAATCTTCTTAAATGGAGAAGAAAATGGATTTACTGACATTGAAGAAAACTTATTAAAAAGTTGCTGGTTTCTGCTACACCTGAGTCTATTCATTGTGTCTTCAAAACCACAAAGCAGGAAGTTAACAGTTAACAGAAAGTATTTACTTCACACAGCAGGGAACAGGATAATCCTGTGGTCAGAAGACAGGCCATTTTGAAGTATGTCAGGATTAGAGTGGAAATTATATCCATGTGCTGCTTGCCACTCAATAACCTCTCTCAGTAGAGGTCATTACTCACTCCCAGCAAGTGACAAGTACTCCCTTCCTAAATCATAGGTCATCATTAAAGGACCAATTTACTCCAAAGTCATACTATATGAGAAGCTGGAGGGTGAACTCACCCCAGGCAACCTTGAGCAAGACTTTTTGGCCCCGTTCTCATTTATCTACCAGTGATATAAAGATGTCCTCATATCAAGCACACAGAAAGCACTTGGCACAGAATCGATGCTCAGGCATCCCTGTCTTCTCTGATGAGGCTACTGCACCTTGGACTCACTGATCTCTCCTCTCCATCTTCTCACCTAAATGTGAAAACAAGTCCTTCCTCCTTTTCCCAAGTTCTCAAGAACCACAGTTGTTAAAAAGATGAATGTACACTTTTAAAATAGACTCATAAAAGAACATGGCACATGGACATTGGATAGTCAGTTTTTCCCCTTTTATTTTTGAAAAGGAGATGTCCTTTGATTCTGGCAATGTGGTTTGTAGGCAGCATCAGAAGCAAGATAATTCTGTGCCAGTTCTGGTGGAGAGGTTTTTGTGTTGTTTTGTTTTGTTTTGTTTTGTTTTGCTTTGTTTTGTTTTGTTATTTTTTTAATCAGTACTATTTGAATGTTTCTTGTGAGCCAGGAAGCACATATATAAGTTAGGACTCGTAGCCCTCCCTGTAGGATTGACAAGAAATGGCACAACATTCTTTTAAGATGAAGATACTAGGGTTGAAGAACTTGTCCAAAATTGGAATCATAGTAAGCCCGTGAAACAGCATCAAAACTCCACTTCCAAAGCTAAGACTCTAAAGTGTCAGAGATCCAGGAAGCTGCAGCCATGAAAAGAAGCCAGAGAATAGCTCAAGGTTGCCCTTCCCATGCCAACAAAGAAGCATCTTACAAGTTAAAGCTACCAGAACAATCAAGTGCAGACATCAAAACATCAGGGATGTGTTTGTTTATAGCTGGAGCTTAAAACATCTATGAATAGCTGTCTTAGTTTGAGTTTCATTACTGTGAAGAGACACTATTACTAACACTACTCTTATAAAGGAAGCCATTTCATCAAGGCTGGCTTACAGTTCAGAGATTTAATCCATTATCATCATGGTGGGAAGCATGGCAGCATCCAGGCCAACATGGTGCTGGAGAACTAGCTGGGAGTTCTACATCTTGATCCATAGGAAGCAGAATGAGACTGTCACTAGACATAGCTTGTGCATACAAGCCTCCTCCAACAAGGCCACACTTCTAATAGTGCTACTCCCCATGGGCTAAGCATTCAAACCTGTGAGTCTATGAAGGCCATAAGCTATTCAAACCACCACCACAGTAGCCATAAGCTAAGTATGTATTTATGCATCCTTTTTATTTTCAATACATTGTCCCACTAGCTTCTGAGCACCAAGCATAGAGCTAAGATATCTGTCTATTGGTGATTCTAACTGCTGATAAAGTGGTCCCTTTAAACACTGTTTATCTGGTAGTTTCAAAAAAATTTAGTCTCTGTCTCCACAGGAACCAACTTCATAATTTTTTTTCTCTTTAAAATATTCCCACTTTGGGCTAGAGGAAGGGTTCAGTGGTTTAAAGCTCATATTGGTCTTACAGAGGACCTGAGTTCAGTTTCCAGAACTTTTGTCAAGCAGCTCACAACTGCCTGGAACTCCAGCTTCCCCTGAAGTGGAGTCCATACCTTCCTTGCCTTGGCGGACACACACACTGACACACATCCACATAAATAAATAATAAAAAGCTTTTTAAAACTTCCATCTTTAGGGCTGGTGAGATGGCTCAGTGGTTAAGAGCACTGACTGCTCTTCCAGAGGTCATGAGTTCAAATCCCAGCAACCACATGGTGGCTCACAACCATCTGTAATGATATCTGATGTCCTCTTGTGGGGTGTCTGAAGACAACTACAGTGTACTTACATATGATAAATAAATAAAAATTTAAAAAAAAAAACTTCCATCTTTAAAAAATTTCCAAATAGAAAGTTGAATAAAGATTTCAACCTGAATTGTTAGTAATTTCTTTCCCAGTATACTAGCAGAAGGTGCTGCTTCCTGACTCATGAGTGGTTTGGCATGGATAACTGTCTAGTGATGTACTTTCCACTGTCGCACTGAAGGGGAATGGCTGTGGGGGTCTGGGTTAGGTCGCCTGGCTCACATCTTCTCAAAGGAAAGAATTCATTCAACTGAGTTTGAGCAGTTTCTTAAACAAAGCAAAGCAAACACTCCAAAAGAGACTGATGTAGGCTACTCAGAGAGAGAGAGGCAGCCCACCCTATTTTGTACTATGAGTTTTTAAAAACTTTTTTATAACTATTTTTGAGGTGCGAGGCACATTCCTGGAGTATGGTGGACAGGACCTCCCTTTTAGTATTGCTCCTCATGATGATTCTGTGTGATGGTTTGTATTTTCTTGGCCCAGGGAGTGGCACTATTAGAAGGTGTGGCCCTGTTGGAGTAGGTGTGTCACTGTGGGTGTGGACTTTAAGACCCTCATCCTAGCTGCCTGGAAGTCAGTATTCTTCTAGCAGCCTTCAGATGAAGATGTAGAATTCTCAGATCCTCTTACACTATGCCTGCCTGGATGCTGCCATGCTCCTGCCTTGATGATAATGGACTGAACCTCTGAACCTGTAAGCCAGTCTCAATTAAATGTTGTCCTTATAAGAGTTGCCCTGGTCACGGTGTCTGTTCACAGCATGACCAGACACTCTAGAAAATCTTAACTAGATTTCTCTAGAGAAGCCCACAAAAAAAAAAAAAATGCACGGGCTGAAAATGACAGTGTGAATGATGTCATAGTGCTGGGGTTTTCTGGAGATGTAGCCCCTTCACTAGTGCACAGGTATGGCAGCTGGTAGCTGGGTTTCCGGTATAGCAGACCAATCTAACTACAGCTTCAAAGATGCTTAGCCATGAAAGGGCATCGGATCATCAGGAGAGTCTGCTACCAAGATCCAAGATGTGCAGTTGCCTTGTTTCTCTTACATCTAACTGCTTGCTTGCCTGGTTCCAGGGTGGTGGTGGTGGTGGTGGTGGTGGTGGTGGTGGTGATGATGATGATAATTGTCTTAGTTAGGGATTTCACTGTTGTGAAGAAACACCATGACCAAGGCAACTCTTATAACGTCAAACATTTAACTGGAGCTGGCTTACAGGTTCAGAGGTTCAGTCCATTGTCATCATGGCAGGAAGCATGGCAGCATCCAGGCAGACATGGTTCAGGAGAAGATGAGGGTTCTACATCTTAATCAGAAAACATCCAGGAGACTGTCTCTTCAGCACTGGCAGGGGAAGATTGAGCACTAGGATCCCTCAAAGCCTGCCTTCAACAATGACATATTTCCTCCAATAAGACAACACCACCTAATAGGGAAACTTCCCCTGGGCCAAGTATATTCAAACCACCACGATGGTAGTGATGATGATGGTGATAGTGGTGGTGGTGGTGGTGATCATGATGATGATGATACAAAATTATAGTGTTGAATTTACTCAGAGGAGTCAATCCCTGCAGAACTATGGATTAGGAGTATGTCCCTGGTGAGCTGGGCAGTCTTAAGGATGAAAATACTGGCAAGATGTCTACAAAGCTATAATTTTATGAAAATCACAAGGTTGGTACTATGAAAGCTTACAATTTACAGAGCCTGACACTTCCAAGTCCCAACTCAACTCTGTAGAAATCTGTGAGATATTTTTTGATGACCTGACGTTTGGGAACTGCTTGCTGTCATAGCATGAACATACATGTTCATGAACATAACATTATGCTATGCTACCACTACCGTATAACTAATCACCACAAACACAGTAGCTTGAACAACATACTCTATTACCCAACAGTTCTGGTGATTAGAAATAGAGAAGGTTCTTACAGGCCAGAGCTGAGGCTTTGTCAAGATGAATTTCCCTTGTGGAGATCCTTAGGAAAACATGTAATTCCTGATTCCTCTCAGCCCTGAGGGTTGCCTGTCTACACAGCCAGAAGTGGCCTTCTGCCACCCTCTCATTGACATGGACCTTTGTGGTCGATCCAGAATAACACCCATCTCAGCAGCAAAGCCACCTTTGCTCTGTGATACACTCACAGGCTCCAGGCTATGTAGGCAGCAGTGAGAGCATCCCATGCCAGCCACAAGTATGAAGGAAATCAACACATGTAAGGCACTTGGACAGATGCCAGAGGCACAGAAATCATGCATTAAACCTGTCTTGGCAATTATTTGTGCAGAGATCAAAGTTTGTATTTTATTTTTCTTTCCCTAACTTAAAAATAAGTTTAACAATTTAATCCTTAAAATCTATGATTATCTGACTTGGTTATATAAGATAAGCCACAGCAGGCTGTTTCACTGGCATTGTGTACAGTAGTCACTGTCACCTCTGTAACTCTGCCCAGCTTCTTGTCTTTGCTAGAAGTGGGCACAGGAAGAGGTGGAAGCACTGAGTGCCATGTAGACTTTGGCACTGAGGGCTGAGCTGGTGCTGGGTGGCATGGCCCGTCCAGTTCTTGGCTTCACAGTCAGCTGTGCCGTTTCCTTTTGCTCCGCTACAGCTCAGAGAAGTAACAGGCATCAAAACATACTAGGCAGCCCTATGTACATCAGCTGCCCCTGATAAGGGTAAGGGTCTCTTCCTTTCACACAGTTATAAATACGATACTTGTGTACTGCAAAGCCAGCTATATAATGGAAAAGCTTGATGATACGTCCAGTTTCTGTGTTCCACTGGTTTCTATGGTTTAAAGAATTCAAAATGGGGCTCTTTCAGCATAAACTCAGTCTCTCTTTTAAATTACAGACTTATTTATGTGTATTTGTGTGTATATGTGCCTACTGCATATATGTGAATCATATGCATGCAGGGACCCAAAGAGGCAGGAAGAGAGCATCAGCTCCCTGAAACTGGACGTACAGATGGTTGTGAGCTGCCCCGTGTGGGTGCTCGGAGCCAAACCCAGGTCCTTGTACAAGTGCTCTTAACTTCTGAGCCATCTCTCTAATCCCAAGATAAGAGGAGAAAATGTTTTTGTTTGTTTCTGAGAATTGAACTTAAGGCCTGTCTTAGAGATCAACAGCTGTGCTGCTGTGAAAAGACACCATGACCACAGCCACGCTTGTTATCATCATTATTATTGTTGTTATTATTATTATTATTATTCACTTTACATCCTGATCACAGCCCCCTTCCCTCTTCTCTTCCCAGCCCCACCCTTACAAATCCCTCCTCCCATTACCCTCTCCCCTTCTCTCTAGAGAAAGGGAGCCCCCCTTGGATACCACCCCACCCTGGCACATCTAATCCCAGAAGAACTAGGCAAATCCTCTCCCAATGAGGCCCAACCAGACAGTCCAGGTAAGGCAAAGCAGATCCAACTGCAGGGAGCAGAGACAAGACAGCCCTTGCTCCACCTGTCGGGGGAACCAAGCTTGCACATCTGCTGCAAATGTGTAGGAGGCCTGGGTACAGCCCTGCACGCCCCCCCCTTAGTTGGTGGCCCAAGCTCTGTGAGCCCCCATGGTCCCAGGTTAGTTGACTCTGTCTTCTTGTGGTGTGCTGGACCCCTCCAGCTTGCTTACTTCTATCCCCCACTCTTCCACCAGACTCCCTGGGTCTGATGTTTGTCAGGATCTCTGCATCTGCCTTCATCTGCTGGATGAAGCCTCTCAGAGGACAGTTATGCTGCAAGCAGAGCAGAGTATCATTAATAGTGTCAGGGGCTGGCCCTCTCACATAGGATGGTTCTCAAGTTGGGGCAGTCATTGGTTGGTTGTTTCCTCGGTCTCTGATCCACCTTTACCCCTGCACATCTTGTAGGCAAGACAAATTTTGGGTTGAGGGTTTTGTGGGTGGATTGATGTCCCCCTCCCTCTTCTGGAAGTCCTGCCTGGCTACAGGAGGTGATTACTTCAGTCTCTATATCCCCACTCTGGTAGGAATCTCAGCTTGGGTCACTCCCATAGACTCCGGGTATCCTCTCCCGTTCCAGGCCTCCAGCTAGTCACCAGAGATGCCCCCACCCCCCGCACTGATTTCCATTCACTCTCAGATCTCTCTTGCCCCCATCCACCTCCGCTGCCCCCCACACCCCCCCCCCTGCTCCAACCTGATCACTCACTATCTCCATTCCCCTCCTTACTCCCTCCCCTCTCCCACACAGTTTTCTCTCTCCATCCAACTCCAATGACTATTTAATTTCCCCTTCTAAGTGACATGAACACATCCTCCCTTGGGGCCTCCTTATGATCCAGCCACTCTTATAAAAGAAAGCATTTAGCTGGAGCTTACTTACCGTTTGGGAGGTTTGGTCCCTGGTGGGGAACATGGCAGAGTGCAGGGACATGTGACTGGAGAGGCAGCTGAGACTTCTACATCCAGATCCTTTCGCAGCAAGAAGACAGAGAGACTCGGGACGTGGCATGAGTTTTTGAAACCTTGAAGTCCACCCCAAGTGACACACTTCCTCCAACAAGGTCACACTTCTTAATCCTTTCAAGTAGTGCCACTCCATGATGACCAAGCATTCAGATCTCAGAGCCTATGGGGGGTCATTCTTGTTCAAACCACCACAGAGCCTTATACTTGCTAGACAAACACACCACCACTGAGCTATGTTCCCAGCCCTCAGTCTTCTTTTTAATATTGAGGTAAGTTTCATTTATTCAAGATTGCCAAGAAAGCCCCTGGTGGAGCAGTTTCCTCAAAGTCTGAACTGTGCTAATTAAACATACTATTAAGCACATTCATTTGTCTTCTTCCAGGTCATTATACTTATGGTGTGTGTGTGTGTGTGTGTGTGTGTGTGTGTGTGTGTGTGTGTGTGTTGTGTATGTGTGTGTGTGTGTGTTAACAATAATAATCAAAGAAAAAGAGGCTATCCGCTTGGCTGGGGGTATGAGAAAGGTTCAAAGGAGGGTAGCCACAAAAGGCTGGAATGAGAAAATGGAAGAAAGAAAGTGATATCAGTATATTTCAATTAAAATCATAGTTTTTAAAAAAGATTTTAAAATCATGAGTACCTAAGGGACAACACAATGGTGAGACAAAATATTCCTTGTTCCTCTGGCTCCTTGTCAAATTAAGAAAAGCATGGCTATAATAAGATTATATATACAACCTTCCATGGATCCTTGATGTTATAATAAATCTACAGTTATAAATGTGGAAAGAGGTTAACAATGTGTCATTAAATAAAGATGGTCAAGCAGCAAACGGAGTGTAAAGACACAAAGAAAATTATATGAGTGTGTGTGTGTGTGTGTGTGTGTGTACGATTGTATGTGTCTGGTATAGGGGCAATGTCGAGGAGTCAGGGTGTGGTCACTGGTATGTGTCTGTGTATGTGAGGGGTGTTTCTTTGTGTATATGTGGAGAGGGTGGGTTTGTACATATGTGTGTGGGAATGGGTGTGAGGAAATATACATGTGTATGATGTGTGTCTGTGTGGGCGTGTGGTATTAGGGGATGAAGAGGAAAGGAATGGGGTATGTAGTATGTTTGTGTATTTGAGGAGGTAGAGTGTGTGTGTGTGTGTGTGTGTGTGTGTGTGTGTGTGGTGTCAGTGTGTATGTTGAAGCAGAGGAAATTTTCTACCGTATATACAGTGATAGTAAAATTAGTTTAAAATGACAATAGTGGATCATAAATTGTTTTATTGCTTTTTACTTTTTTACATTTTCTTATCTACATGCTTTACTGAGGTCATTCCAATTATTAGGAAAAAACAATTTCTATTTTAAATGTATGAATGCACCACACCCATGTTGGTTCAATAACATTAATAAGTATAACTAAGCATGTGATTCTGGTTGTGCACACTTTGACAATTTAATGAGCTCAGAAACCCAAGCGAAGACGAATCAAAGTAGCTCCTTTTCTTTTTTTTTTTCTTTTTTTTTCTTTTTTTTTTTTAATTTTTTCTCAAATCATAATTAATTCACACAGGGGTATAAACACAGAAAGGCAGGACGTGGGGAAGGGAATGACACTGGAGTGCGGGCTCAGGGGGAATACAGATATCTTCAGAACCGGGTATCGGCTGGGTGAAGGTTCAGGGAACAAGTCCCCATGACTCTGCCTATGACTCGCTTGTCCCCATCTAAGCTGGTATTGTCTGCCAAGGCTACCTATTTACAAGGTCCATGACCACTCAGGCTTATAAATTTCCACAAAAGCTGCCCGTTGACATTAGCTTATAGACATCTGTTTCAATGTTCTTCCACTGAGACCCAAGAATTGGTGTTAGTATACATGTATGACAGGCCCACTGCTAATTTTAGGCCTACGGCTGATTTTAGGCCTACAGTGTGTAACCAGGGCTGCCCCTGACATCTCCTCCCTTCTCTAAGTATAGAAGGGCTGTGGCAATTCTAAACTTGCGAAGGCGGGGATAGAGGCCTGACCTCCAGTATTTGAAGGGGACCTTGTAATGGCTCCAGTCCCCCTGTCGTTGTCCAGTGAGGCATGAGTGCCATACCCGTCCCGATGTCTTTTTCTTGGAGAGAGGATACTTTTGATATCAACCCCTATGCAGTCAGGCTTGTCCCTCAGGGAGCCCAGATAGATATTTTTATCTTTTATTGATATTCCCTTGCAGTGCTTAGCCTCACAGCCTAAGCAAGAATTCAGATCGCCTGTCAGAGGGGGTTCTGGATGGCCCCTCTCCGCTTGGTCTAGGGGCAGAAGTCCCCCCTTTTTAGGTTGGGTGGAGATGGGTTTTGGAAACACCCTGTATAAAGTAACAACCTCATCTTGAGTCTCGTGGTCCTCCATAGCTAACTTATGATAATGTATCTGAGTAGGTTTTGCTACCAAATTATTTATCTGTTGTATCAGAGTTAGTCCGCCTATTTGAGAGCCAGGGACCAGCAGAAAAAAGCAAAAAGAACCCAAATAATGGTCCCAAGATGAAAGGAAATAGGGTTGACAACCTTGGAGAGGCTGCAAATCAATTCTTGTACCAGCCTTCATCTGTCTCTTTCTCTCTCTGATTTTTCTTAGGCTTCACTACCTATTTCATGCTCTCTTTAACCCTCCTTGTCTTGTCTATGTAAAGGCAACCTTCTTCTTTGAGGGTTGTACACAGTCAAGAGCTGTATACAGTCTTTTCTATTGTACTAGAGTAAATCAAGTCCAATAAGGATCTTTGCGATTTTAGGAGGTCTCTTCAGACAGCGAAACGAGGGATTTCTTCAGATTAGTGATGTCAATCTCTAGCTGTTCTTGATGTTCTTGTCAGTGGCCCTTCAAAGGTCTGAGTAGTATAAGTTCAGAGGCCAGCATCTGGATTAGAACTTCTAACCGCAGACATCACGGGTGATTCATTTTTACCTGGAAAGGAAAAAGAAGGGGATTCTCAGGGAGATTTCTCTTCCCTGGATGTAAATTGTTATTCATCGTATTTATGGTTGGGCCTGGCTTTGTGGGGGTATCTATCTTTTTTTCATTAATCTTTTTGGTAGCCAGTTAGCTGTGCCATCTGTGGTATCA